ATTCTTTTGTAGAGATAAGTGAACAACTATTATCAGTGATTGTTTCTTTCACCACAGCCTTCCTTGGGCCTTTGCACGTATCACGTGGAATAGTTTATGCAGATTCTTGAAGTTTCTCTAAATCTCTTCAACATTCTTGGCCCACCAAAATACTTGGTCCTCGCAAATGCTTTTTTCACTTGACGTTTGACACTATGTCAGCCAGGAGCAAAATCTTATCCGGGCCTGCGGCAACTTTAGAGTATTGCTTCAAATCTAGTGGTTCAATCAAGTTTGTTGCACTGTTCCACGAGTGGAACACCGCATGTCCCAGTGTTGTTGATAGTACCTTCCAGTGCCAGTCAGCACAAGAAGATTGTTGTCCGGAGTGGACTTCAATAAACATTTTCGGTAGATTTGATTTGCTTCAAGGTCTGAAAGCTTTCCAATGGTCAGGCGAGTTGTATGAATCTAGCGCATCCCCGAAAAGCTCAACGACGAGCAGCAATGAACAAGATCGTGATCCCCCATGGAGTGACTAGCGTCAAACGCTATTTTGGAGTGCATACAGTTATTATTTGGTCCGTCACGGTCTGGTCAACCTAAATTCGTCAGACCGAATGGGGCACTCACCATTACACCACGCGGTTTACGGTGGTCACACCCAGGTTTGTGCAATTGCCCTTCTCGGGTTTTCATTTTAATAGCGCTACGTCCAACCGCCCTGCCCTGTAGTGATCCAGTTTGATCCTATCCTTTTATATTGGAACACCTGACTAGCAGCTTTTGTGTGTTTGAGGGACTACAGGCAGCATCACATTTTCGTCGGTCATACCCCTTGGTCATGTGCACTAGAGTCTGTTCCACTGTTGATCACACATCCCTATTTGTCCTTGTAACGATTCACACTTTACCGTTAACCAGCTTGACTAGTATGTTCCCACGAAGCTTGGATTTTAGGCTGCAGAACTCTCGTTTCGCTTGTATGTGGTCATATGGCCGTGAATATGGCATCTTTATGTCTTGCGAAATGTCGTTTGATAACACCGCGTTTGTAGACGGTCTCGTGTGGGGCTACTACAGCATGGATCAGCGTTTTGACTTTGTACTTCCGCAGTGCCTCTGTTGATGAATGGCTTTTAACAGAGTAGAGCACCATTCTTGTCGAAATGAGGCCCAATTCATGCCCAGTCTCGGTTCCAAAAAGTTGGTTCTTGCAGCGATTCCACCGACATGAGCGCAATAAAGCTGAGAGCTATAATGACCTCTTACTCACATGCAACTATCTCAGATCTTCGGATGTTAACGATATCAGTTGTCAGCTAGGTTAGTCGACGAACTATTACACCGTTTGATCCAAATTTCTATCGGAAAAGACCGAAAACGCATGCGTTACTCATCATAATGTGTTTCTAGTAGTGGTATTGAATTATTCAGAACTAACGTGAGAATGGGACGGTATAGCACTGACAAACAATTTCGTAAAAGAAGCCGACAGAACAGATCTTTTTATTACCACAATAGCGTTGGTTTAAGGAGCGCATGGGTAACATACCAAGTAGAACCGTTACGCGGAGAGACTGCACCTTCCCGTTGTGTGATGGTTTGTGTACTTCGGCGACCAGTTGAACTATACTGGAGGGTTTCCCCTCGACATACACGGAGTCCCGTATCAGCTCGATCAATGATTAGAGGTGTGAGGAATACAGTCTCCTTGTCCTCCAGGTTGGGGTTGAAATATATGTGGCGATATGCTCCATAGTAATGGTAATTTACTTCCGTTTCGCACCAAATACGACCGCCTTGAATTTAGGCATCGGCTTTACAAACAACATCTGAACCTCATCCGAAACCGACATCCTCAGGCATCCCAAAGTCAGTATTCAGGCCTCGACACTTTGTCTAGCTGGCCGCCTTCATTCTCCGCACTCCAAAGCAAGCAGGACAACAATCTACTCTTGCTCTCACACTGGACTCGCTTGTGTTTCAGAAACAAGAACTCAAGATGCAAGCACTGGTTGAGCTAACCGCCTCATCACTCTCCACTTGCTTTCGGGTGCGCACCTCTGACGATCTAGAGTCTACTGCAGCAGGATGTACAGGGATTGGTATCGTCCTAAGTTAGGGGGCGGAAGAATCCTTGCTTGACTGGATACACGCAATAGTCGCCTGTTTGCGGTTCCCCAGGTAACGTCTGTGAAGTAGTCTTGCAAGGGGGAAGTGGATCGATGTCTGTTTGTCATGTCTGCTTACGCCCAAACTGACTGTAGCTCTGACACCATGAGGCAACTTTTAAGACGCCCTGAATGTCCAGTTGCAGCGAGCTAAAAGCTCAGATAGCCTTGTAGTTGCCAGAGATATGACCGTAGGAGTGGACAGGAGTAGCGCAACTGATACTCAATTAGGTGGTCAACATGGACTGGCCTCGGTACCTACGGACAATGATGAACGATTGCTTCAGCTGTGTGCTGACAGCAGACTTTTATGCATTACTAGCGTATGTCCACATAGTGTCCTCCAACAGCGTGCTGGTCAGAAACTCAAGTAGACCACATTGCCATCAGTTTCCGATAGCGTGGATCATTAACTGATTGCCGGTTGTTTCGGCAGACATTTGTTGATTCGGACCACACACTTATCCGGAGTCGCTTTCCCGTTCGTTTTACAGGACCGCGTAAGGTGCCGGAAAATCGCCATGCAACTGAAAGACTGGCAGATCGCGATGTTAGACGAATTTGCCAGAATCGTCTTCTAGAGTCTCAACTGTTCCACCATCAGGTGTGAATTCAACAAGGACGAGGTCGCCAACTCTGCACAGTGCTGGGAGGTTTGCTTGTGGTACTGCGCTACCAGTCCCACTTATGCACTGAGTAACAGACCGAACAGTGGCGCTGCTTACATCTCGGAGAAATATACCAGCCGGTCCGGAACATAACTTGGCGCCACGAATTATCACACGTCAAGTGAAAGTGAGCGTGGGAACCGACCGTGAAGTCTGGTGGATACAGAAAGCCGAGGTAATCGAAGAGGCCTAGAAGGCCGGTAATGCCCGAAGTTTATTTTAGTTCATCCGCCCGACCGGTCCGGGGAAACCATCTTTGGGCGAAGCCAAGGGATTGACCATGCTGAATGAAGAAGGAGAACGCCTCGACCGGTTGGTCGAATACTTCGGATGACAGCAATCGTGGTCACCACTCTTCTGGACCCCACGACAGAAACCTGGAGGTGAAGGTGCCCCCTACGCACGTGGAGGTTTATGACTGCATATGTTTTCTCAAGCGCCACCGAGCTTCCGGCTCGGATGACCGCCCGCCCGCTTTGTTCAAAGACGGGGGTGAAATCTTTGGTCAGCGTTAGCCTGACCTGTTTGTCCGCTTTCGGGAAGAGGCCACTGTCATAGACAACGGAGTTAGTCGATTATAGCGCTGGGGACGTTCTAGAGAAGCACAAAGAAAAGAGAGAGAGAGAGCTAAGGAGGACTTACCTGCTGTACGATGGAAGAATGAATGTCACTTCTCGTGAGCTGAGGCGTTACCTGTGAATTTGCGTGTCAGGGATGTCATATCCTAACGGGAACTTCCTCTTCGTTATTCAATTTACCTCTTGTTCCTCAGCACCATCTAGCCTCACTGAAAGAACCGCAACAATAAAAACAATGGAAATGTCTGCCCGTCTGAAATTTCAGTTTAATTTTAGCTAACACTCATTTTAACGGTCTCAGAACACGATGGAATTTGGAGTGCACACACGAGCAACCACCAAAACGGACCCATTTCGTCACCCGGTTACCTCCTTTTAAGTCCGTCCGTCACTGTTCTGTCCATGTTGCGTGACGTTCAACATAGCCCAAGCGGGGACGTATCCAATCACCGTTTTTAATACAGATAGTCTTTTCAGCAGCAGAATCGCTGCAAACATGCCAATTTTTCCGCGCATTCTGTCTACATCATTCCCATCCATTGTCATAACCCTTACCATTTCACCCCTGTCGTCGATTTTCGGCTTTTAATGTGCCTCTCACCGATTTGGACCACTATACCATTTTTTAAATCACGGTTACACCGAACTGTCTGAAACAGCACCAAATCAACCACATTAACAAGTCTTATGCGAATTTCGTCCACTCATCTTGTCTTCTCGTTTGGAACAGGGCTCATGGACTGTCACTGGCAAGTTACGGCCTCACATGATTGGACTCTTCTGGGGCCTAAATTGGGGTTTTATATATCCGCGCAAATGTATCCGGCCCCCATCTTTAGTGTGTGCATCTCGGATATCATCCTTAATTAGTGAATTATTGTAGCCAACTCTTCGACTATGAGTAGGAAATCCTTTCCCATGAGTTAAGCATTGGTCTGATCAGCCAGCCCTAATCAGCCTTTCATCTCGCCTATTATCGCCTGATTTCCCGCACTATGTGGTACGCACAGATCTAAACGTTCCACAGTTTTTGTAACACACGGACTAATCGGTTGCACCAACATTACTTTGGTTGAGCATTTACTGGCATTCACTGGTAGGCATCTTTACTTAAGCGCTTTCTGATGCTGCCCTCGCTTACAGGTCAAATTATTTCTTTGACGGCTCTTACGTATCAGTTGAACAAACTGTTTCCAGATATTATGTATGGCCGAGCATATTTCATGTGGATTTCTGGGGCTCGTAGTGATTGTAGTGACCACAAAGGGATCAACTTAACCCCGGCTGTAACGAGACTGCTGGTTCAATTGTGCTTCGTCGCCTTGTGGTGGATCGTGAAATACTGACTCAGCGAACGGGATTCCGGCGGATCCCGGGTTGCGTTGACGAAATCTTCACACTCCGTCAGGTAACGCTATACGTACAGACGACTCACATTTATAGTATTCGGGGATTTTCAAGGCGCATTCGACTCGGTTGATCGGTTCTTTCTCCTCAACACTTGCCCATCAAGGAATACCCCGTAACTTTGTGAACATAATATGCTCTCTGTATTCTTACACTTTCGACCGTGTGAGCATATAGACGCTGTCGGTAGACTAATGAGACGAACGCTGGAAGCTCTCCAAAACCCCGGTGTTCAAATGGTCTGTCAATCTAGAATATGCAGACGTTCTCGTCTTCGAATAGAAGAAGGAGACACAGGTATTTTTGGATGAACTGACCAAGGTCACCTCGTCCTTTGGTATGCACCTTGCACCCACAAAGTGCAAGGTCGTGCTCCTGGACATGCAGTGACTAAACGCGACACTTACAATCCGGAGAGAGACACTCGAAGTTGTGGGGCGTTTCACATTCCGTGGAAGTTGTATTAGTTCTGATTGTGGCGTGATAGATGAGGTCGATGCACAAATCTGCAAGGCCCGGGTCGCGTTTGCTGATTTGAGACACCTATGGCGTCAAAGCAGTATATCTCTGAATCTCACGGTACGTGTGTGTTACGCTACAGTGCGGGCTTTCTGTTTTCTAACGGTGAGACTTGGTTTGTTCGATTAACAGAAGTGAGACGTGTTCAGGCGTTTGACAATCGTTGTTTGAGGACCATAACTGATGTGGTTTTGTGTCGGCGAATGCGCAACGAGCAATTGAAAAGCGAATCTTCGGTTGTGCAACGGGTAGTTCCACTGAGGAGCGTGTCCATCACCAGAAGCTATGTTGGTTAGACCGTGTATTGCACACGCCTAACCATCATTTGCCGACGAGTTGTTTTTCGTGCCTCATTCAGAGTGGCGGAAGCAGAAAGCTGGGCACCCCTTGACCTGGCAGATGGGTATGAAAAGTGATTACGAAGCGTTTGAGTGCTGTCGGTGCTACTAACCTACCAGATGGGGACTGCTTGACTCCTACTGCGCCTGGCTGGAGACGCTGGAAGATGTGGCTGCGAATCGATGTCAATGACCTTCTTGTTTTCAGATTGCCTGACTGAGTGTCTGGGGGTGTAGGCACCTCTGAATGACTGTAATTAGCTAGCATTTGGTTAGCACTACTCCCCTTTCCTGTTCAGCTTTATTCCTTTCTTTACAATAAGGCTTTCAAATAAATCATGGTTATACGGTAGTGAAACATCAATGTTGAACACTTATGTCGTTCTGCATGTTATGAATAGATGATAATACACACTAGAGAGCAGACATCCCACTCGCTGTTGTTAGGTCCATGGACCTTGATGCTGCACTGTACCGCAGTGACAGACTTTTGCGCTTATTAACGCCATGAACTGAGCAATTTATCATCATTATGGACAGCACGATAGCATCAACACTGATTCCTCGCTGTATTACTTTGCTCAGGCTGTTCACATCAGTCGGGTGAGAAGAACTCGTCTCATGAAGCCAGTGTTATGTCGACCCTGGTTCAACCCGCTGAAGTAGTTCTCTCGGAATTTCGTAGTCGTAGCGCCCATATGGTGAACTTGCTGTAAGTGGAGCAAATGTCAATCGGTAGAGTATCTTGGGGGCGCATAAAACCAGGGGAACCAGCTTTGGATAGTGGAAAGAAAGAAAGAAAGCGTTCAGCTGTAGCTGTTCAGCTGCCATGTCACCCGAAGGAAGCACGAGGGCTGGGATACTGCCAGGTTGCCCAAGCCTAGACAGGGGAAGTCGAGTGGCGGAGGTCGGATTCGAACCACGGACCTTCCGATCAGTAAATTCGCGCTCTAACCACTTGGGCCATCTCGCCGTGTGAACGGTGGCCACTTCTTCCTGTGCCTGACCGGCTTATCTGTTTTATTTATCTTCCATAACGGAAGCTTTTGCATCAGTTTATTTAACTGGAAGACCTGGAGTTGTTTGTTGGGTTAATTCTGTAGCATCAGTTCAGTGGGACTTTCACTGCGTGTAGGTCATTACGATATTCAAAATCCCGAACGACGACAGTCTGCCAGCGGTCAGTGCTGTTGACTGTTTAACTGACACATGCATGCTAAACGTTTGTTTCGCATGTGCACCCTGCATTCGATGATGTCACAAGCCAACACTTTGTCAGCGGTGGTTTTCCGAACTAATGGATTTTCCGATTTCTTATGCGGTGATGGCAGATTGATCTTCCGTGCATCATAATGTCCGTTGATACCTATGACGAGGACCTAACGGGGTGTGCACAACGGAAAATTTGTTCAGTTCTTTCTGATTTTTTTTATATACCTGTGGTAACATCAAGTTTTAGATTTTGAGTAATATGAATAACATTTTCCGCGTTATTTCCAGCCGCCCCTTTCTGGCATTTATATTGTCTCTGTGACACTGGCCTCCTCTACTGACTACTGGAAACTAAGCGTTTTCGCGCATATTGGTCTTGAAGAATCAGAAGCACCTTTGGAAATTCACCGACCCTATCGGTAGAGATACCGGTAGTCATATCGGTAGTGTGGCTTGTCAGCTATGTCTACATTTCAGCCTGTTGCTACTGGCCGCGAAATTTGGCATGCTACAAACTTCCAATGAACTGATTCAAGCGATTTTCCGTGGGAACTACGATGATTGTGTCCGACTTTTGGATCCTGAATCCGCCAACTACCAGGTTTGTTTCAGGGGTTTCGTAATTCAGGTGAATCCTTGCCTCTCTGATCACTCATTTTGAGCGCTTTCCTTGTTATCAGTTTTCTCAGGAAAAAACTGCCAGTTTTATTAACCAAACGCAGTGATCTGATACTGGCACTCCCATCATTCAACTTTTCAACGTTAATTATTCTTGTGGGTAATGTGTGCGGCCTCGTCCTATAGTAGCATGCGCCTAAAAGTCATTGCAATCATGAATGTTTTGTGCGTGTACCGCAACAGGTACTGGTGGGTTGTGGGCTTGGCAGATGGTCGTCTACGGTACCGCGTCTTCATCTGTTTTTACAGTGACTACATCTATCATTTGCTTTGAACACGAACATGATGCTCCATTGGCCTTTTGCTGAACCCCTTCAGGTCGCGTGTTGGCGTATCTCCGTTTTTGGGCTCTCTTGAAAATAATTGCATCCCGTGTCTGCTCTCTATTCCATTTTACCTTCGGTGCAGAGGTTTGTTAACATGTAGACTGAAGGCATATGTTCAGCTTAGCCATGCAGTTGGACATACCAGTGTCACCAGACGGTACTTCCAAACACATAAACCAGTTGGGCGTTTAATTAGCGGTTGTTTTTGTCTTTTCTATCAGGTCATCTAACTCAGAAGGTTAAAGGTTAAGGGCCCTCCGATCAGTGATATTTTTTTTAGGTAAATTGGAACACCCGGGTGCCTGATACCTTGTTCATTTGATGTTTAGTGTTTCACATGATCCTGTTACACACTTTTTTTCTATTCTGCTCAATTGGATGCCCTGCTTCCACCCGTATGATCGGTTAGGACGCCCAGAAGCAAAGTGTTCTTCATGCAGCTGCCCACTGTAGTGACGCCCGTGTGACACAACTGTTGCTACAGGAGGGTGCACGAGTAAATACCAAAGATGCGCGCTGGCTGACTGCGCTTCATCGAGCATGTGCATGCAATGCAGTTGATGTAGTGAAGGTGAGTGAGTTTCCTCTGCGGTCGTGCATCAGATTAGCGGTCAGCTTCTTTTCCCTGCAGATTAAAATGCCAATTATAGGCCCTGCTAGTTTGCTTCACGAGTGATCTTGGTTCAAAGTTTGTGGTCAAATTGCCAGCAAATCGAGTTAGGTATGCAGAAAAGGTGTGTTTGGATCCCGAATACCTCAACCAGATGAATGCCTTCGTCCCCAGTAAGACCTATCAGGTGATTATAGAGCAACCGGACACGATCCTTTGGTTGACAGTTTCAAGCTGTTGATTGTAGCCGAAAAACCCACCGATCTGAAATGTGCTTGCGAGGCTAGTTCTTTCATTCAGAACAACAGTCGCGCACCACTAAAATAGCCCCTGCTTTTGTCTGGTCCCTTCTGCCTATCGGGGGCAATGTTTCTATTAATATACTACGGTTAAGGTGTGTCAGTTGCTAAAATCTAGTTAACCGTTCATTAGTTGTCTCTACAGGAGCTTGCCAAACTCCAATTCAAAATTGACATCTACCAGCTGCGGTGAATAATGAGGATCGGAACCCAACGACTGTGATAACGGTGCTTTCTAACTGTCCTTTCTGTATGTCCTTTACTATCTAGTTTGAGTCGGGTTAGGGTCCTCGAACAAAAGTTGACTCTCGCTAGAGATCTTGCTCGTTCAGAAATCCCCAGTCTTCTTCATTTACATACCGTGACCACAAAATACCACGGCTTCCTGGTAAAGGAGGTATCCTATGCAAGTCCAGGGGCTTGAGTGAGTGGTGTGCAAGCTGGACACCTCCAGAACCGAGATTCAACTTGCATTGGCTACTAGAATGTCCAGACTCTTGTAGACGTTGAGGCTCAGAGTACCACAGTGCGAAACCCTTCACGGTTACTGACTAGACCTCGCGCGCTCTTCTGAAACGTGACTAAGTGTCTAATATCTACTGAACCGAAGTTTTGTTCCTGAAAACTTGTTAGTGGTTCTGCTACCAACTACCGCACTCATGCTGATCCGTAAATCACACCGCTGCGAATATTGGATTTCAGGCAGAACCATTCATTTGACCACGTGGGCCCGTATATCTAACCCACTCAACATCCCTAATTTACACCTCCCGACTACGATGTCTGCGTCAAATTTCTAACATGAAATATCGTTTCGAGCTAGCTCCAAACGTCCGGAACTTCTCAAAACGGTCTCGTTCCATGTAGTAGACTTTCACTGCGTAATGGAAAAGTACCAGCATGTTCGCTCTTTACTCACATGTCCGAACGTTCACCGTTAATTCCATGTGGTACCGCGTTACCGCCTCTACGCCGTCGACTGTGATCTCCATACTCAAACTGCACAGTTTGAAGTAATCGTTTTGGAGTACTACAGGAGTATCAGCATGACAGATTTTGGAACAGAGATTTTTGTCCTGCTATATCTGCCACTCCTCACTGGGACAAGAGTTCCAGGCCAAAGAATAATCATACCAGGAATATAGGTCAAATATCCATCCTGCGTCAGATCCTCGAACTTCGCTACTAATCTCAGCAACCAACTACGCCCTGCTCTCTTGAGTTCCGTGCAGCGTTTGACTTAGTTCAGAGACGACTTTCATGTCTTAGAAGCTTACTGTGCACCTACTGGTCCCAGCCGGGACCCACCAGTCGCACACAAAAGCCGGTGACCGGATTTGCGAATATCCACGTGGTTCGGTTCCATTTTCGCATTCGATCAGACTATCTAGTATGCTTTAACCTGTTCCAAGCGTTTCCACTCAAGCTCTGTTATCTGAGTCACGGATCTCAACTATGCTTAAGACTACGTTTTCCTAGGGAATGACACATCAGGGCTCTAGCATCTGTAGCTTTGGTCAGTGTGCTTCGCTTTTTTGATTGGGGACAATTGCCTGTAGTTGAGGTTCCTCAACACGAGCGAAATTGTTTAGACTGACTGTTAGCGGATTATCCATTTTTCAATTCGATTAGTTCTCATCACCCCACTTAACAGAATAGCTGAGGGATCAATCGTCGCCTGAATAGACAACGCTGAGAGAAGCTAAGTGCTGCTGAATAAAGTCCTATGGAATAGATCGAAAGTCACCCTCAATACGAAGCTTCTCGTGTACCACAGTGTAATATCCTCCCATATCGATTTACATCTGTGTTGCCCACTTATTCCATGTTTACGATCTTCACAGACTTCGGATGTTTGATTAGTTCGTATGTGCGGTGTACAGCAAGATTCTCCAATGAGGCCGTCAGTTGTTGTTGACTCGTAAGCAATCAACACCGATATCTTCAGTGGTTCGGACACGTCCTGCCTAAACCTAATAGTGGACTGGTCACAATCTTGCTGTCACAACTGCGTTACGTAGGATGTATCTGTCAATAGGTAGTCAGTTGAATGCGTGATATGCACTGCGGAGACTGCTATCGAGTGCTTTGTCCTTCATACTTTCTACGATATGCTTTGGGAGTGGCTGCACAGAATGGGCGGCCGATTGTGTTTCGAGGGGGAGCATCGATTCGACACATTATTGTAGCGATTCATCCAACCACAGGATAGATTGCAGCATGATAGAAACAAGTTTTGTTCAAAGGTTTTCAGTAGTTCCTAACCTGTTACATGGTGCGACTGAATTGTAACATTTTTTCACTAGATGTTCGAGTACTTTGTTCTATTGTAGTCCAGTGCTGTGAATCTTTCGAACGCTGTCCGTTCAAGATAATGTTGGACGTTATGTGTGGACGTTAGAACATCGATTTCACACATGTCAGCTGTGTTTGTGTGCATGCAGTGTCTCCATTTGTACTATTTGTACCGGGCTTTTCGTTTGCTTACATGCAGGGTCACCCCCAGTAGAGGAGCCACCCTTTCGACGTGCCTTTGTAGCCAGTGTGTTCATTGGATTCACGCGATAATGCATGGACCAGTCGAATACATTGTTTACCTTATACTTGAGCAATTTGGCAAGCTATGACCACTACAAATAATTAACAATTGATATCTAATAAGGAGATTTCGCTTCACATATCCATTTACCGAAATCCGGCTGTCGTGCAAACACGATTGCCCACTCAACCTACTCTCGACCCGGACAACCCTAGAGCTCAAGTAGAACAATTTTCACTATAAAGGTTTGCTAAACACCCATAGTATCGGTACACCGCACTGTGCTGTGATTAACTAACCAGTCAGCCTTTCCCGAATAGCTGTTTGGCGTCTGAAACGGATTTGCCTATATTACCACTGGTCTTCTCTGCATACTTGGTACAATCGGTTTTCATGGGTCCGAGTTCAGTCCCCCGAATGCAGATGCAGACTTAAGGAAACGAGCATGCCTAGCTAGCTTGCTGCTAGCTATCAGTCGTCATGAACATGATGAGGTAACAGCGAATACTGGCGTCAGGATCAGTCGATCTCATTTTCAATGTACTAACGCAGTTCCCTCTCATGGTCCTGTATCCCTGGTCCCGGAGACACTTTAGTAGCACATCGTTGGTGTGGTAAGAAATAGACTGGTTTTATTTCAGTTTCCACATGGTTTTCGACATTAGCACCCGTCAGTCGACGTGGCTTATATCTGTTGTTATACCATCATGGTTTGACCGGATGGTGGTCTCCAACAGGCGCCTCCACGTTTGCCCACAGATAGTGTCGGATCTACGTCGGCACCAGGTGCCTGCTTGAGGAACTATATTTAGTCTCATGCAAATGATGGGTGGTTATCCTGCCGTATGAAGGTGTACTGTTACCTGTTACCGGTATATTTGACAAGGATGACAGCCATCTATGCACAAGAAGTGAGTAGTGCGTGTAAAGATCATCCTCGGTTTTAGGAGGCGTCTGTGGAAGTGCCAACCCAGCATTCATTCGCACGGAAGTCGAATTGAAAGATTTGTAGCTTGGAGTTTTCTGTGCGCGAATCTCCTCAGCTTACACGTAGAGTGGCACTCAAAGCCAGGGAAGAAGTGTATATAATGAGGCGGCGTTACGGTGGTGGCGTCTGATTTCACTGAACAGGACTGTTTCCGTATCGGCCTAGGTCCTAACTGAGCAACCTTATATGACCCAGTCCTCATTCCATCTTCGACCTAATAATCAAGTCGAGGCGGGTCTGTTCTTCTGAATAGAGAACTGAATTTCGGATGTAGATTCCTTTTCTGCTTTTATTTTTGCCTTTAAATTTTCAGCCTCTTTTGGAATCTTTTATCGATTTACAGTGCTTGTCACTTTCCATTATCTCATATGTACCATATCATATATGTGATGTCTCTGCATACATGCCCAGTGCCACTGGAAATTTACACATCCAGGCATCGATTTTTGCCTCCAGCACATTCCTTATCCTTCAATTTTAGATTCTCTTAGCACATGGCGCCGACCGGAATGCACGTGATAAAGCGTGGCAAACTCCTTTACACGTGGCTGCGTCAAACGCTAGTTTGGAGTGCATACAGTTATTATTTGGTCCTTCAGAGTCAATGATCAACGTAAATGCGTCAGACCGAATGGGGCACTCACCATTACACCACGCGGTTTACGGTGGTCACACCCAGGTTTGTGCAATTGCCCTTCTCGGGTTTTCATTTTAATAGCGCTACGTCCAACCGCCCTGCCCTGTAGTGATCCAGTTTGATCCTATCCTTTTATATTGGAACACCTGACTAGCAGCTTTTGTGTGTTTGAGGGACTACAGGCAGCATCACATTTTCGTCGGTCATACCCCTTGGTCATGTGCACTAGAGTCTGTTCCACTGTTGATCACACATCCCTATTTGTCCTTGTAACGATTCACACTTTACCGTTAACCAGCTTGACTAGTATGTTCCCACGAAGCTTGGATTTTAGGCTGCAGAACTCTCGTTTCGCTTGTATGTGGTCATATGGCCGTGAATATGGCATCTTTATGTCTTGCGAAATGTCGTTTGATAACACCGCGTTTGTAGACGGTCTCGTGTGGGGCTACTACAGCATGGATCAGCGTTTTGACTTTGTACTTCCGCAGTGCCTCTGTTGATGAATGGCTTTTAACAGAGTAGAGCACCATTCTTGTCGAAATGAGGCCCAATTCATGCCCAGTCTCGGTTCCAAAAAGTTGGTTCTTGCAGCGATTCCACCGACATGAGCGCAATAAAGCTGAGAGCTATAATGACCTCTTACTCACATGCAACTATCTCAGATCTTCGGATGTTAACGATATCAGTTGTCAGCTAGGTTAGTCGACGAACTATTACACCGTTTGATCCAAATTTCTATCGGAAAAGACCGAAAACGCATGCGTTACTCATCATAATGTGTTTCTAGTAGTGGTATTGAATTATTCAGAACTAACGTTAGATTGCGACCATATTGCACTGACAGATGTTAGATGGCTTCGTTCGTAGGGAAGTCAGTAAGAAGCGAGGCACCATCAAGTGAAAACGCTATCCTATTCATGGTTTTCAGAGTGGTCCCCCAGACTATGATTAGCAAGTCGCTGTCAGGCAGGTCCAAGGACGCTCACAAACCATTTCACCCCCCCCCCCGGTGATAGTGTATGTCATGAACAGAATCAGACCAAAGGCACACCACATTTATAGGTTTTAAGAATTGCATAGATAATTGGAATTTCTGTAACATACCAATCTGATTGTCTTAAATAAACGATAAGTGATTAGACCGTTACTCGGTGGCAGTGATAACCTGACGTTCAACGTACTCAGCTTGTTTATTTTACAAGACACGGTCACGAATTTCTCTCTCACCCCAAGAAATCCACACAATTCGTAACCATAATTCAGATTGTCAAGAAGGATAACTCTTAAGCCTTATAAGTACGAAGTAAAATAATGTCCTTCGTATTTCGGAGTTCCGGCAGAGCGTCCGAGTTTCACCTTGTCGGGACACTCTTCGTAGTTACGTGACGTCTACGAAAAAAACAACTAACCAAGGAGACTGAAGAGCGAATATTCCCACTGACCAAACACAAGGTATAGGACCGCCAGATGACGAGGAACTGGAACACTGGTATGCACATTCACTCCTGCAGTGCTTCTTTACGACTACCGAAACTGTTTAGTACCTCTGTCCAAGGTTACCTGAGTTGATAAGCAAACTGGATATACGTACGTCTCAATAACACACACTGCTAAGTATTCTTTGACAACCACGAAGGTTTCCACCCTTCATGGGGTTCATGAAGTGGACATTGTCTCCGAATTTCCGTTCTATATGAAGGCAAAATCGTACGCAATTCGCGGAACGTAATTCGTCAACTTCACTCATGTCCTTTAGAGACCACCTTAGGCGACCGAGTAAGAACGCTCTTCTTAAGACAACCAAAAGCGGTGAATGTAATAACTGAAGAAAAACAAGGATGCATCCGACACCATAGACGTCTTACAGTGAGTAGGCAACTGAGGTAAGACAAATATAAAAGTTTCAAAGCGTTCTTAAATTTGAACGGTAACGGTTCGTTCACCTTGGGTGCGTTGAGAACGTGACGTTACACAAGCAATGGAGCTCAAACTACATACGCTAACTCAGTAAACCAGTGAAAGGCTGTAGATCATACAGGATAGTCTGTTATTTTGGAACACTCTGTCGAAGAATTCCAATAACATAAATGTAATAGACGTCTTATTAAAGTCAGTCGCAAACGTAAGAATAGCGAGTGCAACCGACTGCTGAGATGGTCAATATTTCATCTCTATAACCCATGTCGGAGAGAAAACAGAAAAAGCGAAGTCAACGAGGTCCAATAACTAGTAGTCGAGCTTCTGAGAAACAGATGCATAGTTGTCGTTTCAGAAGGGCTTGGTAAACAATCGGTATTTTTTACTGGGTAACCTTTCGCAGTTGACTCAGTAGCTTCATCAGGCCGAACGAACAGGTCACCAAGTTGGCCAGGTTTTAAGGTAAATGGTGAACCAATCAGTAAGATCTCTTCATATTATCGCACTAGATCAGTTTCTATTGCCAGTTAACGGCTCTTGTGGTTAGTATGGTTGTCAAAATCTTGCGTTGATGGATTATGGGCGTTTCAAATTAATTCTGATCGGTTTTGGTTGCTTTATCTTCCACTTCAATTGATGATTCACCGCGGTTGCCGCTGATAGATTTCGTTGTTCTTTGTGGGTTTGTGAGTGCTGCGACAATTTATTTTGGGAGTGGGATGAAGTCAAGTGGAATTTAGGTGATGACTACTCCTTCCGATGACCGCACACCATCAGCTTGACTGATCCAAAAACCGTTCTCCACACGCTTGGCAGTTCCACGCCCTCTATTCTGTTAACAATGGGATGCTTAGTGATTTCTACCGCTTCGGCCACCAGTCTTTGTGACGGAGACCGTGGTCCTCGCCGCAAAACATCTACGTTTTCTAGATTTTTTTTTTGTCCCGTGTCCGGCGCATGTTCTGCAATTGCCGAGTCTTTCAGTTACGCTCGATGTCCATCTGCGTTTCTTGGCGGCCTGATTATCTGTCTTCTGTGCTCTCCGATTCTGGTGTGAAATTCCCTGGCCGTCCGTCCTATACAGACCTTAATGCAGTCGTTACACTTAATTTTATAGACAGTCTCTGGTTCTGTTTGCTGGGAGGCTAAATTGCACCAGTGCACAGCGCAGTGTTTCCCCTCTGGAAAACTACTCCTATGTCGACTGTGTTTTCAGAATCCTTCGAATGATCTCCGATGCCCCTGGTTTATATGGAATAACAGCTGTCCCAAGTCATTCTGCGCTGCGAAATCTTAACTAGGTATACCCGTGATAAAGCGGCGTGAGTTGTGGCCCGCTTCACCTCAAATGCTCAATATTCTTTCAGTATTTTGTCACATCGTGTTTGTTTCAGTTTGAAGTACGTCAGAGTACTTTAACACCAGAACAACTAAAAGAAAGTGGATGCTATAACCATCTATCACCCTTGAGGCCAAATTTGACCGTATATTTGGGTCTATCTGGATCAACAAATCGAGCTGTGTTCACTGAGTCCTTTCGACTTAATTCAGCCGCAAGTCGAGTTGTTTGGAATTTCCCCTGAGTTTTCCTCGATAAGCTAGAGGTAATCTTTACAATTTTGCCGCAGGGCGAATCAAAAGCAGTACAATAAGTACCTGGAAATGTTCAGTAGCTTGCCACAAATTTCTCAGTTCGGTTGATCTGTGAAGCTTCCCGTGCCTTCTCTAATCGCTTATTGGCCGCCATCATGAGCTTTTACATCACCGTGTGCGAATACGTTGAAGAGTAGAAGATGACATTGGAAGATCGCCGTATTTTCATGCGGATTCGGATGGATGTAGTAAAAACTACAGGTGTTCTTGATGTCTGCAGTTAGTTAGGTACAGCCCTCAGGTTTCTATGCGGGCTGTTCGTTTTACTGCGTCTCAGGACTGCTTCTACAATAAGGTTTAGACCGGAGCACACGTTTGCATGATTGTTCTCTTGAAACTATTGGTCACTAGACACTGGAATATACTCCGTGACAATGCTGCAGATCACCTTCTTACTGTATAGGCAACTCCGTATCCCATTAGCCTGTTAAGAAATCTTTGTCACACCCGTGTTGTTTATAAAAGAAGCCGGCGTAATACCATCTGGGTTTGTCAGGTGTTTCTATTTGTTTATTTACAAGTGAGTAACTGTCTATTTGTTACAGTCCAGTGCAAGTTCAAGCTCACGTGGGATGGATATCGGACTGTACCGTACCTGTATACTGTATCCGAAAGACAATAAACGACGTCGATATTCCGCTTACAGGTTTTATGGATTTTGAAGCGCGAATGCGGGAGAACGGAACGATGTGATGTGATAGTTAAGGCCTAACTAAAACTTTGTTGCAGGGCAGTCAAGCATAAGGCTCGTGAAGAGAGCAGTTCTGGTCCCATCCGTTTGGGCAATCTTTGTGCAGTCCTCAGTGGGTTTTTGTTTGTGATGTTTGGGCTTCCAGCATTGTGCCAACCGGCAATATCTGCCTTCAGATTTGATCGCACTCGATCTTAGTAAAGTGTGTTTTCTCCACCAACCGACACAAGACGGAAGCAGTAGAATGTGTGCACACTATACTGGACCAGTTCGGAAATAATCCTCAAGCCGATGAACCTTAGGTTTTTGGAAATATTTTCATTCAGAAATCAATTTAGGCAGGAAAATAACGTTTTCTGCTCTGGTATTGTTCGGCTCATATCTCGCAATTTGTTCTTTGTTAACGAATTTACTACCACCAACTGTATTCGTCTATTATTTTTTGCAGGTTGTCCGGTTTCTGCTCGAGAAGGGTGCATCCGTGAACGCATTTGACAAGCGCGATCGCCGGGCAATGCATTGGGCTGCTGTCTGTGGTCATGCAGAAGTGATTGTCTGAGTTTTTTTTTACAGCACTATGGTAGTCAGTTCTCGATTTGTTCGTTGATTACAAAGACAATCACCTGGCGTGCTGGCATCTGATCCCAATCAATTGATTGTTTCATGTCGATTTAGCTTGCGAGTCTAACGCTGTAATAACGGTATTTTCCTCAGTTTAATTCTTGGTGTGAACCTTTCAAGCTAGCGTTCCCGTCAAAATAACCACCAAAGGTGCACAAGGTATTTTAACGCCCAAAACCGAGTGAAGAACACTTGTACAGTGCATCACATGTATATAGTGTAAGCAGCGACAACCTGGAAATCCTGACGCCTTCTAGATGCGCCACTGGCAACCGGCATTCGATCAATACTGGGTAATGATTGGCTGTTGGGTTCAGACCTTCGACCAGTCTGATCTCGGCTTGATACCGGACTGGTAAGCGTCCCGAACTTTTGGTCAATCTTGTGCGGGATAGGCTTCTCGACCGTAGCAGTGCTCAACTGTGAACGGTAAAGCGGTTAAGCCTAACGGATATCAGCCTCCCTTCGAGTGTGGAGTTTCTCTCTTAGAAGTGCACTTATCGGCTTTGTTTTGACTAAAACTCGGTCAATTTTGGTGGTTTAACTGGACAAGTTCGTACTACTTTTCCACATTATAGGTCGTGGAGGTGTTACATCAGTTTGGTGCCGAGGTGAACTGTCGGGACAAGGATCAATACACCCCATTGCATGCTGCCGCCGCCCTCGGCTGCGTGAACACTGTGAAAGCTCTGATCGAGCTGGGAGCTGAAATGCTGCCTACTACTGCCCAGGTGAGGGTGTTAGGTGTCCACCATTCAGACTGCCTCGCTTTCTAGTGGTATTTAGCACCAATTGGTTGCGAATCTGCGAATTTTCTTTCTTTGATGTGTTACCCGAGGTTTTATCTGTTCACCAGTATATTGGTTAGTCACACGATCGGCGCGATCCACCGCGAAAGGTGTTTTGTTATTACCACAATGTACGGATTGTTACTAACGTAAAGGATGCCGTGAAGCTACATACCATAGGTTTCTCAATTCTTCTACTGGGCTAGATTCCATATGGTTACTTGCTCTTGTATCTACTTTCGTATCACACTTCATCGGCTGCAGCCGCCTACGGGCCACAATACCTTTCGTGCAACACTTTTCATCTCTCAAGTAGGCCTCCAAAGCAAGTCGCATGTTTTGGCACTTCAAATGTGCCATGTCGCGGCATTTTAAAACCAAACTATTTCCAAAGCTTCAGGCATAACGACGTCTCATTAGTCTGATGTCCAAGGTACTATTCCAGCTTCATTCAGATTTCTCTATGTGAGCGTTCCGATAATTCCTCCAGTTCGTTGTCATCCTTCTTACCCTCCAGTTCTTCGGTTTCTTTGGTGTCCCTCGAAATCGTACTCCCGTAGTCTGTAGTGCGTGGGGTTCTCTGGTAGTTCCGGTCCACTCTAGGCGTTTGTGGTCAGTCATAGTGTGAAACGTTTGGCCTCCATTGTTCTAAAGACCAGATCACCACCAAACATTCGTTTTCGATTGTTGAATGCTTTTACTCAGTATTTGTCAAGGCACCACTGACCTAATCGTTGACCTCATCTCTCTTCTTCCCAACTGCGCCGATTTCTCGGTCACTGGAGTCTCTTGTTACACTAAGCGCATCTCCGACCTTTTGCAGCTTGATGTTAGCTTGCTGTTCTAGAATCCATGCTCTGACACGTTCGAAGGCATTGTGTGCCTCACCTGCCCACTCAAATTCTCTTTCGATTGAGTAAGTTGTACACTGGGACTGCGAAGAGTATGAGTACACCCATACTGTCACGTGTTATGATGTTTGGGCTGTGCTGCAACGATCTTGTGGGCTATACTGGCTGTAACTCAGTTCGTAAAGGCCGAACCGTGCCAGGAAGGCCAACGGGTAGCAGCCGGACGAAGAACAGCGAGCAATCATATTACGAGACAGTCTGGAGGTAAATTCATGCGATTCCGCGGTAGAACCATGAAAGCAGTAAGGCATTTTCCGAGACGACCGGGATGCCCATATTTTTGGAAGAGGCCATACTACCTTCTGCTAAGAAGGATGGGTTTGAAAACTTTGGCCTCGAAAACGCAGACTTCGATTGCCCAACGGTTGACCGTGACCGCCGGTGCATTGATCAATATGGCCGAAGTACTTTTAAAACAGGTGCTGCTCAAAAAGCACCCGCTGTGCGAAGTGGCGTTAGAATTGATACAGTCATGCCTTATTCCCCGCTTCCTCCGGACAGGTTGCCCCTTGCATCCAAGTTGGTCGGACCATTGAGACAGTGGCTATGGGGAGCGTCCCACAAGAAAACCCTAACGGCCGCTGCTTTCGGGTTAGACTTTTGAGTCAGAAGCTAGGGGCAGGGTTCCCAAACAAGGTCTTTCATCCCTCCAACTACCTTGTCGGTCAGACTTTTGAGTCAAACGCTCAGGGTGGAGTACCTCAACTAAGCTCCCTTCGGCTCCGACATCCTGGAAGTTTCATTCGGCCTTGCAGCTATTCGCTCACTGGCCTTCCTCCACACCCAGTCCCCTAGCCACTGTTCCATGTCTAAATCATCACCTAGAAAAATAAGCCAAAATAATCGCTTACGATCCACATTGCTGCCTTCAATGTTCGTAGTCTATGTCAAATCGGGTGATGGGCATCTCTTGCTGAAACAATGGTTTTCATATCTGCCGATGTGTGTTATATATCCGAAACATGCATAGAATACCTCAGCATACTGGTGCACCTCAAGGCGCTTAGAACGAGCTCAGATGTTCTTCGGGCGCTCGCCATTCTACCGCTTCCCTTGGTGGTCTGTTTATCCTCCTTTTATGCTCGCCAATTCTGTTGTGCAACTAGCAGTTCGTCCTACGTAAACCTTGGTGCAGGTGTTGCATTTAATTTTATATACACAATCTCTAGTGCTTTTAACCAGGAGGGGATCTTTCAACTGCACCAAAACCAAGCCTAGTTCCTTCTTTAAAGCTATTTGGATGTTGGCTAAGCTCAGCAGTCTTCGAATAACCCCCGATGTTCCTGCTCTAAATGGAATAACTGCTGTGCCAATCCATTCCTTACTGAGTCTTGATATCGGAGACGATTTCCTTTTAGATTGCCGCCTGATCAAACATAATGGGTGTCCTATTTATTGATGTCTGTTGGCGATCTCGATTTGAGCTGCTGTTCGGTCGATCTCTTCTGTCTCCTGTGTCTAGTGGATAGTCGTTTTTAATTTTCAACCAATATTATGTGTCATACGGTTCAGGAAGCATAGTGTGCTCGAGGTGGGCTCTATTTACGTGTTAAACTTGTGAGGATTTAAACTACTGGGATAGTTGTGGAATTCGTTCATGTAATCGCTTTTGATCAGAACAAGGGTGTCGTAAACATAACGCCAAGAACTTTCGGTGGTCAATAATATCCGGCCAAGGCCGTTTCCTCGAAGCCCCCCAAATAAATATTAGCTAAGAATGGGGATCTTGGATATCCCTTTCAAGACATTGTTCTTGAGAGCAAACAGTTGTGTTAAAAACAAACTGATCGAGATTTAAACATGCTCTTTTGCCCTCGATTAGTTCAGCCACTGAGAGCTGTGTCTGTTCCTTGAGTGTCGTGTCTGGTAGTAGCAACCTTTTGGTTACCTCCAAAGCATTCTCCCTAGGGATGTTTGTGTACATTGATGTTACGTCAAAACTCACGGCGACCTCGTCCATCTCCAAACGAAACCCTGCGACCTTATGGGCAAAGTCGTACGAATTCCTAATGAAGGTTCCTGATTTTTCCGTGGGCGGTTTTAGCATAGCAGCTAATAATCTGGCTAGCTCATGTGGTGGCGAGCCTATACCATCCAGTATTGGCCTCATCAAGGTGTCTGCCTTGTGGTTTTTTTAGCAGTTTGTAGAGTCCTCGTTAAGTCGTACTTTTTGGGTACAACCGACACCACCACCTTGCCCAAAATGGATCGTAAATATCTACCAACTTCAACCACACTTATAAATTATTGAAGTAATACTGCTACTGGTAATTTGTTGTCAGGGTCCATCGGCGAGTTTTTGCTTGACCTTTTGAAGATAGTCGCTCTTGTTCATTACTACTGTGACTTTATTTTTACTGGCCTTCGTCATGACTTGTCACATTGTGTGAAGCGCCCACCAAACCATGCGGCAGAATTATTTAGATGACTTAAAATGGTTTGTATTTTTGAAGTAGCTGAACAAGGGAGAGTATTATCCTTCATATACTCTATGTCTGTGAGGGAAGGCTCCGGGAGCATTTCGACCCCCATAGTTCCAGAGGCAGGTACATAAATTTCAACCAGCTAGACGTGGTGAACCCAGCCCAAATATTACCGTATACTCGTACCCGTCCACAGGAGTTCGCATACAGTGTCCTTCATGGGAATAAATTTGGAGGGGACGTCTTTGATCGTCAGGCACCACCGGAGTTTCTGACGATCGACAATCAAAGGCACCTCCCAGATCAAGACAAACGACCAAAGTAAGATGTCTGAAGGTGTGACGTTGTTCAAGAATCTGTCTCAATTTAAAGATATTCCTTGACAAAGGCCTAACCCGGCTTGATTCTCACGAGATTCTCTCTCCCGATAATCAACCTGCGCCAAATAATATCGGAGAGCACTTCAGAGGTAACGGATACCTCCATGGTTTTCACCTGACGTTCTTGCGCTCCCTTCGAACACTGGGATGACGGTCGAGGAACTCCATTGCTGGTGTTCTGTTTTCTGTTTTCATTCCTAGAACTGCCGGATACGATACACATTTTGAGACAATTAGTTCATCGGTCTATATGCATAAATGGGTTGAATCTAGGTTTACTCTCACAATCATATGAAGTCATGACGAAGGAGTTAGAGTGTTCGTCTCTCATTAATTTTGCTTCACGCATTGCAAATTTGATGACGCAACTGGTTGGAAGTTTCATATATCTAATTCACAAAACTATTTACTCCGTATGAAGGATCAGTTTTTTGGGCTTGTTTCAATAAATTAAGATCTCTTCAAACAGCCATTGACAGTTGGTCATACAGAGCGCCTGAACTGACTTGCTATCCTTTCTCTTATTTTTGTTTAGGGAAATACGCCTCTCCATATTGCTTGCTTGAACGGTCGAGAAGAAGTTGTGGAGCTACTTTTAGAAGCCATAGCCAATGCCGCATTACAACCAGCTTCCAAATGTTCACCTTCTATGGACGCACCTTCGAGTGATTCGAGCCCAGTTTCCCAGGAGACTCCGACTCAGGATCCCGGTTTCGAAGCCACTTTGGCGGCAGTGAATATGATCAGCGAACCTGGTCATTTCACACCCATTTACTACTGTACTTTATTTTTACTGGCCTTCGTCATGACTTGTCACATTGTGTGAAGCGCCCACCAAACCATGCGGCAGAATTATTTAGATGACTTAAAATGGTTTGTATTTTTGAAGTAGCTGAACAAGGGAGAGTATTATCCTTCATATACTCTATGTCTGTGAGGGAAGGCTCCGGGAGCATTTCGACCCCCATAGTTCCAGAGGCAGGTACATAAATTTCAACCAGCTAGACGTGGTGAACCCAGCCCAAATATTACCGTATACTCGTACCCGTCCACAGGAGTTCGCATACAGTGTCCTTCATGGGAATAAATTTGGAGGGGACGTCTTTGATCGTCAGGCACCACCGGAGTTTCTGACGATCGACAATCAAAGGCACCTCCCAGATCAAGACAAACGACCAAAGTAAGATGTCTGAAGGTGTGACGTTGTTCAAGAATCTGTCTCAATTTAAAGATATTCCTTGACAAAGGCCTAACCCGGCTTGATTCTCACGAGATTCTCTCTCCCGATAATCAACCTGCGCCAAATAATATCGGAGAGCACTTCAGAGGTAACGGATACCTCCATGGTTTTCACCTGACGTTCTTGCGCTCCCTTCGAACACTGGGATGACGCCCAAATATTTATACTCGTACCCGTCCACAGGAGTTCGCATACAGTGTCCTTCATGGGAATAAATTTGGAGGGGACGTCTTTGATCGTCAGGCACCACCGGAGTTTCTGACGATCGACAATCAAAGGCACCTCCCAGATCAAGACAAACGACCAAAGTAAGATGTCTGAAGGTGTGACGTTGTTCAAGAATCTGTCTCAATTTAAAGATATTCCTTGACAAAGGCCTAACCCGGCTTGATTCTCACGAGATTCTCTCTCCCGATAATCAACCTGCGCCAAATAATATCGGAGAGCACTTCAGAGGTAACGGATACCTCCATGGTTTTCACCTGACGTTCTTGCGCTCCCTTCGAACACTGGGATGACGGTCGAGGAACTCCATTGCTGGTGTTCTGTTTTCTGTTTTCATTCCTAGAACTGCCGGATACGATACACATTTTGAGACAATTAGTTCATCGGTCTATATGCATAAATGGGTTGAATCTAGGTTTACTCTCACAATCATATGAAGTCATGACGAAGGAGTTAGAGTGTTCGTCTCTCATTAATTTTGCTTCACGCATTGCAAATTTGATGACGCAACTGGTTGGAAGTTTCATATATCTAATTCACAAAACTATTTACTCCGTATGAAGGATCAGTTTTTTGGGCTTGTTTCAATAAATTAAGATCTCTTCAAACAGCCATTGACAGTTGGTCATACAGAGCGCCTGAACTGACTTGCTATCCTTTCTCTTATTTTTGTTTAGGGAAATACGCCTCTCCATATTGCTTGCTTGAACGGTCGAGAAGAAGTTGTGGAGCTACTTTTAGAAGCCATAGCCAATGCCGCATTACAACCAGCTTCCAAATGTTCACCTTCTATGGACGCACCTTCGAGTGATTCGAGCCCAGTTTCCCAGGAGACTCCGACTCAGGATCCCGGTTTCGAAGCCACTTTGGCGGCAGTGAATATGATCAGCGAACCTGGTCATTTCACACCCATCCATCTAGCTGTTACGTCTACAGGTGGTGCGTATTGCTTACGTTTGCTGCTGAACGCAGCGACGCCTCGCATCACGCTGGCCTCAGCCAGCAATGGCAACTCTTTGTTAGCTACTTCAACCCAATCATCTCGAAGATCGCGCTGTCTGGCTGGTCTCGAAATACCGGGTGGAGAGGATGGGAGCCACCCCCTTCATATGGCTGCCTTGCACGGAAGGTATGCTGAGACAGTAGAAACGGTCAAGAGTACTACATATGCTTTTCACTACATTTGTGAATTTCATGTAGATATCTCTTCTCATGCCTTATATAAGCATCCTTTTTCCTATAGTACTACGTCTCCAGCGTCCTGACCTCGTTCAAATCAGCTTGGTAGTTTTCGCTGCCATGTCCGATCAAAGCATTAGTCACCCACAGTATAACTCTGCATTACTTCAGTTTTTTCCTCCACCAGGAACATGCATAGAAACATATCACAGCTGTAGCCAGGTTTCGACCACTTCAACTTTACTCTACGGCCTCTACCTCATTCGTGCGAGTGAATCGGCTCCACTCGTATCTCAGATCGCAAGGTCATGGCAGTATGTAAGCCAATCTAGATTTCACTTGCAACGTTTGTAGGATTGTTACTGTAACAACCGGCAAAACAGATTTGTATTCAAGCCTAATATTACTCTCTGAATAACATGGACGTTTGGGTGCCTGGTTTAGCTGTTGCTGAATCACCAACTTACTGATAGTGGTAGCGACGGGCTTTTCAGTTTCCATTTACAGTTGAGCTTATGTGTACTTCGGGAAAGTAAGTGCCGTCCTGAAAAAAAAAATGGGTTAAAAATTGTTTGTAATTTACCTTGGGGTAATGATCATGTACTTTCCGCTTCGTTGATGGTGTTCCGCAACGCATATTGCAACGTGCCAAGTCTTATTTTTCTCCGTGGGAGTTATGGAAAGGTTTTCCGACGTGCTTTATGCTTGGGCGATCCGGTGACCATCAGTTGGTGAAAAGCCCATAGAGTTCAATCAAATGGACTGCCCAGTGACTCCCAGTGTAGCGTGTGAAAAGCAATGAAGAAAGCCTTGAAGAAAACCAATACCTCCGAGAACTACGGCCCAACATTTTTGTGATCGAGACTGGCAAATATGACGTATCTGTGCTCTCTAGAAGCCACGTTTATGTCATTGGCACAATCTGTCTCCGAATTCTGCTGACTGTATATTGGCAATAAAAACATGCTGTTAAAACGTACCTCGAGGGCGTCCGGAGGCTACGGCTTGGAAGTTTTAGTCGTTTACTGGAGACCTGTGTCTTAACCAATTGATCGAAATCTCGACGTCCTCTCTGTTTGTAGGTCTCCGCTAGGTGGCTAGCGACCACCCCGATTTTGGATTTTGCACATGATTCTCGAGCGTCTTGGTGGACAGTGGTTTGGTGGGTACAGTATGTGAAATACCGCGGGAAAGATGAGTTGTTCCAGTTATAAAGGGGGATGAGTGCTGTTGGCTTTCATCGATGATCCCTGGTTGTGTCGGGTGCATCAGAATCAGCTTCAAGTCGTTCCGGTTGAATGAAGCATTCCATTGTTTATGATTAATGGACCGAATGAATTGTACTGGGCAGAAAGTAAGTACATTGATGCCGGCAGCTTAAATCTTATTCAGTTGAAATCTTAGACGTGGGAATTGAAAACAAAAGGTTACATTGTTAAGCATGGCAAAGCGGAATGGGCTTCATGGTAACAAATCACCTGCGAAGCAAAACACATGGCATAGTACATTTTTTTCTCATCAACAAATTGATAAGAGTCAGAAAAGAAAGTCATCTCTATGGTTTTCAATAAAGACGGATAAAAAGCAATGGAGGCGCACTCAATGCCAACGGTCTTTAAGAGATCAAGTATGGAGAAGCTGGTGGAAGGTGCATCCACGATGCCTAGTCTATACTTATTCAACTTGCCACAATATTTGAGCTCCGATGATATTATCAGCCGACAAGGGTTAAATGAGGGTATCGAGCACTCTCGAGATTTCAGGATGTCATCTGCAGGAGGATAGGGGCTGAGGAAGTCTGAGAGTGGAATCAGGTGAAAAACTGTTCCTTTGAAGAGTTCCTACCCGTACTAATTTTCCTCACACAGACAAGGTTGACACAGCTCCCTATCTCCTTCGGTGAGTTCAGACTCATCACTTCAGACACGAAAGAAAACCCGTTTTTTATTTCCTGTCGAATGTGAGTTGTGTTCGTCCGCGACTGCGCGCCTAGCGTGTAACATTACACTTGTGTCTCTAAAGTTGTTTGAGATGTATGCACCCAGCCAGTCTGGTATGCAGTAATTACGTTTCCAATGGGAAAAGTTGGTTTTGTAAATGAGATACCTTTATTACAAAAGTCGAAACTGAGTGAGGAAGTGTCCTGTTTAGAGGATTTGAGTTTAGCTGAGAGGGAAGCAGCTACTATGGAAGCTTCCAACAACTTGACACCATCTGGAATGATTGGGTGTTTACAGAAAAACCTTTGAGTTGAATCTACGAAAGAACGAGGATGGGAAATGAAACGGCTGGAGTGTTGACCGAAGTGGCCAGAGGTTCTTGGAGCTATGGAGAACTTTTAGAGATGCAAATTAGCAGGATTATTGAGTATATAATCAAGCTGGATCCCATTTCCGTTTGGCTGTTGAACCAGATCGTGAAGACTCGAGGGGAGGAATTAACCCTTTATGAGTCACCTGGTATGATGAAAATTAAGGGACACAACTATGTATAAATCTACTAAGAAAGTTCTTCGGAAGCTGGACGGAAATATTTGTAGGACACGGCCAAACATTCACTGCTTCCACATTAATACTGCAAGAACTTGAGCAATCGGCGGCCACTCTGGAGGAACAAAATAAAGGAACTCCCTCTCTGTGTTTTGGTTTTCATCATATAATAAATTCGCAAAAAGTTGGAATGGTCGCCAGACTGGTATCACAATCTCCACTCAGCGGTGATACTCGAACTGCTATCGTGTGAATTTGTGTGGAAAGATATTTTTTAGTTCCAACTGTAAATCGTCAATCTTGCTAAAAATTGCTCTGGGGCTCTCGAATGAACTAATGAAAAAATCCTTGGTAAAGATTTATTAAACAACCTGCGCTACCAGTCCCTCAAACAATTCTATTCTTCGCAACACAGGATGAGTTTATTAACTCGTACTGGAGCTAAAGGACAGTTTTTCAGTATGAATCTTATAACCATAGTCCGATAAAATAAGTTGCGGGTCGGCCATGTTATAACACCGAAAACAACGTAGTCATCATCATCATCATCAACGACAAGAGGACGATTAGGGTCCTCAACCAAAACAACGTAGAATGAACGTCCAATGACCACTCTTTTGGATGATGATTACCTCTTCAAGTTCTCACTTCCAAATCCAGTTTAGTGCGCTGTCTATTCTGCTGGAGGTTCTGATTTCGACGATATAATCTCGGTAAACTGTAGATCCTCGCTTTGTACATGAGTTCACTGTTCACTGTTTTCTGGGAGAAGGCTGGCGTAGTCTTTGCTCCAGACGGAAGTAGGGTGTATCAGTGTTAAACTGCATGTGTACTAATGCTCAGAAATTCCATGAGTTCTTTTTCTTCGCCTCTTCAACACTTTGGTTCTACAAAGTACCTGTCATCATCCAGCCAGCCAAATATTTTGCCCAATATTGCCGGTGAATACGGGTTGGTGGCTAACGTATTATTCAGACTAATGAAAAAATCGGCATTTCTAGACGGCTTTTTCATGATGACGAATGGTACTGTCTGGAAGAAGCGCTTGACCGGCTTTAATACACCGGCCTCAGTCTGTCCTGAAGATCTTTTACCCACTGATCGTATGGCTTCGTTAGTAGATGGTGTTTTGGACGGGATACTATCTGGACTTCATGGAAGAGGTAACGTACAGCTTTCGTTTTGGTGCAGCATTTGAAGTTCCCCTGGAGCACTGTAGAATATCCCTAAATTTGGACTTCTGGTGGGCTGTGACTAAATCTGTCACCTATTTCATTCAAGCTCATAGTAGACAGCTGCAGACGATGCATCCAACCAAGACCCAACAGGCTTATTCACATGAGGTCACCATGGCATGTAATTCCACACTCATCTTGGTTCTAAACTTCTGGTTTGCAGTAAATTTCTCGTCGAGTTTTAGTTTACCATCTGAGTCATGTGTTGCAGTTTTCGGTGGGCGCGAACCTAGAGTATTTGGATTCCTTGCAGTTTTCACGGACACTGTTAATACAGCCATAGTTTGAACCGAATTTGCACCGAGTTGGAATCCCAGTATAAACTCCTATTTGATATTTCACATGTAGCGTAGATTACGTGATGTATTCCGTGTTATTCTGTAGAATTCACTTGTCACGCTTTTGCAATGATTCTGACATGTTACTTGTTTCCTATCTTCCAAAGCCGATTTTTTGTTAGTATTCCTGAGGCCCGTCATTATAACTGTGTTTATCAAGTCCCCGCTGATTTACGCAGCAGTGAATATATCATGAACGTACTAGGCCAGTCGATGCTTCTTTCCTCACCGCTCAGAAAAGCCTTAACAGGCCTCACCCAGCCCGCTATGTGAAGGCCTAGTCTTCGGACCCGTTGTTGGACACACTAATTCGTTTTCCTTAAAACTGCTTCCACTGGTGCATCAATTTATCGTCACATTGTAGGCGTAAACAGAAATGTGAAAAGGATGGTGGTGTTAGAAATCCGACATTAACACCTCAACATATGCGACTGAATAATTCCCACAGAGGCGACAGAACAAACCTATTGTCCATCCATCTGGCTAACTACACACTGTTGTTTTCGATGTTTAGTTGGAATAAAAAATCGGTGTTGGAATTGTTCTGCAAAATCTGCTTGAAGATTTAAGTTATTACGGTAAGCTAAATTTAGGTTCTCCTCGAGTAAACGCTGCACTAATTTTATTTATACGGTTACTAAATTATAGTCATTTCAATTGCACTGGCTTATCGAATCATCATACTGTATTTTCCTCTGCATTTCTAACCTATAAATGAATTATTTTACTTGCATTGTGTTTTCGCATTCAGTTTCAGGGTATAGGAAACCAACTGATTTCTCAGTGTTCCGTACCCGGGCACACCCCTAGCGTGTGAGCCTGATGCGTCTAACTTCCGTTTATAGCGTGGGCCATATTCGTGAGGCTAGCTACCTACGTCAAATGACGTAGGTAGATAGCATGTTCAGTAAGACTGATACCCACACCGGCGATGTCCCGATAAACAACCAGACTTCAAGGGACCTAGTTGAGTTCCGGGATTAGTTAGTCAAGGCATTACACCCCACGCTAATAATCAACAATCATGGAGCTGGGAAAGTTTACACCCAACTACCGCAAGTGTATTTGATTTCCGAAATTTCACGGGAAATTACGCTCACTCGAGTTATCTTAACCTTCCTTGTTCAACTTTGTGTCGTGTCCAATAACCCCTTCCAGATTCGACCGTGCAGAATTATTGTTGAATCACGGTGCTGTCGTTGACGCCCGAGATCGCTGGGGTAATACGGCCCTCCACATTGCAGCCGATCGTGGTCATGAACTGTTCATTCTTAGTATGATTCGGGCCGGTTGCAGGTGGGATGTCCGCGGTCACGGAGGAGCAACTGCTCTACACCGTGCAGCTCTTTCTGGTTTCCAGGCCTGTCTCTTCAGGTATACTGTTTTCAATTACTCTTACCGTTTTCTGTTGCTTTTTACCTCTGTTCTGCGACAGCTAACAAACCATGAACTTGATTTTTCCAAATGTGCGTAATCTAGATGTCCTTGGATTACAGACTAAAGTCCTATCCTTGAAAAAAGTTTTGGAAATGTTTGTTAACTCTTTGAATCAACGTTAGAGGACTGCTTGGCTTAAGAGGTGACGCAGTTTTCTAAAACACGAAGTTCCGAGTGCTTTGGTATAGGCTCCGTGCAATCCTGCTATACCCGGGTTTCAGTCCCTACAATATGGAGGAAAATTGAAACCTTTAGCTGGCGGATGGCTTGTACAGTCAGTTCCATATTTCAACTGAAATATCTTTCCTGGAATTCGAATCCAGGATAAAAATTCATACTCCGTAAAGTTTCCTCTAAGCCAGGGAATCACGTCATCAGATTACTCATCAGACGACCGATAGATGTCTCGTTCTCATCTTTGTACGTATCAAGGTCCAGAGATCTCCATAGTGGATTCTTGTGACCGTACGCTTCTATTTTATTCTGCATAACAGGTAGAAGTTACGCAGTTTTTTGTCGCAGATCTTTGAATAACGAAGGCCGTACGGGTTGGGATCCCTGTAAGAAAACGTTCGAAATGTGCAACACCTGGTTGAGGATGGATTCACGTATACTTTAACCCATAGTTCAGATTGTTGATGATTGTATGGCCTTGGGAAGATAGATAGTCTTAAAGAGTCTCAAGAGTTCAATCCTGTAGGGAATGACCGGGAATGTGACCGGGCTTGATGGGCAAAGACGGGTGCTTAATTAGAAGGTATAGCGAGAAGTCGCGCAGGGTACACTGCATTCAGACGAAACGAAACTTCAAGGAACTTCGAAACCGCGAGCTCCCGATTAGCGTCTTGAACACTGACCTTTTCGTTCATTAGTGGCCGCGCTAGTGAACTCGCGCTTAGACCTTTTCGTCATTAGTGGCCGCGCTAGTGAACTTGCGCTTAGGCAGGATATAGCGCCACTCATCCTTCGATCACGGCATCCATAACACTCCGTCACCTATTGATTAGCTTCTCAACTGGACACATCTTAGGTAGATGAAATTGGTCTTCCCCTGAACCACATATAGATGACTATTTATATGAGGAGGCTTAGAAATTTTCAATGAAGATTTCATTCAGCAAGTGAAACTGACCTACGCTGAAAAACCGAGGCACTTCACAGCTGCTTCTTACTAAATGGGAACCGTCAGCAGTGTGCATCTCACAAAACTCAGTGGACTTTTAAACCGGCGACCTATGGCTTAGTGGACTAAATATTTTTAGTCAACACGTGATTACGTGATGTGAATTTCGCGATTGAAGAACAAATGGCACTGTATCCTATCTATTTGCGAGTTCCTCACGCAGCGGATCAGCCGCCGGTGGCCGAACGATGACGTTCAATTCGCTAATCAGAATGCGGGGTTTCGAAACTACCAAAGGTTTCGTTTCGTGAAGTGCACACCGCTTAGATTAGGAAAGCACGGCTCCTTGGGAAATCCATTTCTGGTTTTCTGTATCTGGAATGCAACTGCATCTATTCTTTCGTTTATTGAACGATTGTCTTTCGACTTGTTGCTTGCGTTTTACCGTAAAAATCCTGCGAGAAAGATGAAACCAAAGTTACCCGTTGTTTGGTGGCGATTTAGTCTTTCTTGGTGGTCACTTGAGAGGATGTCGTCCTCAAGCCGGCGAAGTTGTCTACCCAGGACTGATCTCAAAACTTGCGACAAAACAGGAGTAACTTAGATGGATCAGCTGTTGTTAGGACCAACATGAGGACAAAGGCTTCTTACTGGGAACCGTCAGCAGTGTGCATCTCACAAAACTCAGTGGACTTTTAAACCGGCGACCTATGGCTTAGTGGACTAAATATTTTTAGTCAACACGTGATTACGTGATGTGAATTTCGCGATTGAAGAACAAATGGCACTGTATCCTATCTATTTGCGAGTTCCTCACGCAGCGGATCAGCCGCCGGTGGCCGAACGATGACGTTCAATTCGCTAATCAGAATGCGGGGTTTCGAAACTACCAAAGGTTTCGTTTCGTGAAGTGCACACCGCTTAGATTAGGAAAGCACGGCTCCTTGGGAAATCCATTTCTGGTTTTCTGTATCTGGAATGCAACTGCATCTATTCTTTCGTTTATTGAACGATTGTCTTTCGACTTGTTGCTTGCGTTTTACCGTAAAAATCCTGCGAGAAAGATGAAACCAAAGTTACCCGTTGTTTGGTGGCGATTTAGTCTTTCTTGGTGGTCACTTGAGAGGATGTCGTCCTCAAGCCGGCGAAGTTGTCTACCCAGGACTGATCTCAAAACTTGCGACAAAACAGGAGTAACTTAGATGGATCAGCTGTTGTTAGGACCAACATGAGGACAAAGTTTTGGAATGAGGATGACATTAAAGGGTCTTCTTGGATGAACAGCAAATGTGTCTAAGGTGAACGTAATAGCCTTCATCTGACGTAAGCCAGTTTGGAGACGATCTGAACTGGGTGATTTGGGGGTGTTGAATTCCCACAAACGAATCCGAGCGCTCATTGTAGTGGTTGCTAGTATAGGAAAGTTGGTCAAAGGGGATGGGCAGTCCGACAAAATGGTAGTCAGTAATAGAAAGGTGGGATGCAAAAGACTGAGCAAAAATCCAGGCTTTTTTCTAACGGAAGAGTTCGATGATTACAGACAGATGCAATACAGTGCCAGCTGAGGTGGAACGAGTTTGCGACAGATTGTTTCAGCCAGCACTAGAGGTGATTGACTTTTAGTTGGTGGTGGTCATAGATGGACAGCCCTCCGTATGATCAATTCGTCTCTGTTATAGACGGACTAGAGTTCCACGCACAAAGAACAGGAGAGGAAACTGTTTGTTCCTTCGTTATCATGAATGGACAATCTATCCTGAAGATGATTGTTTCCATGGTTTGAAAAGAATAGGGTTAAATTAGGTGCGAAAGAACACGTGAGACTCCTGGCCTAAACCAGTGGATCCTTTTGCAGACCACAGTCCAAGGGATAAATACCAGAAAATTGGCGAGTATCACCCCGACCACGTAATCGCCGGAATATATGTTGGGAGTTTGAAGCGGGTTTGGGGTCGAGGGCGAATGAGACAATGAAAATGGTGCGGGCGGGAGGTACAAGGGAATCGAGGTCCCAACAGCGTCGCTGTCGCGGTCACTCACGGTACAAAATAAGACGGGCGATGTAGGGCCTCACAACTATAGGGGTTGTATGACAGCCAGTGTGGGCACTGAGACCGCCGATAATTCAAAATTCCGCGTGGGCTCAGACTGAAGTCTCTGTTTGCAGTTGGTGTGTTGCACAGACAAGGGCAACACATCTTCGGGATACGTTAGCGACTTCTCGATTGAGGACGAAACGTTTGCAATCCAGCTACCATGCTGTTGTTTGTATGTCCAACACTTAATCGTCGCCTAGATCAATTTAATTCTTGTCAAGTGAGTTCATTCTAACGTCATTTTGGTAGTCAGGTAGTGTTTATGCAACTTTAGCTTCTTCGAGGGGTAATTGCACTGGGGATGAATCCCATCCCTCCTAAATCATCTTGGTAAGAATTCTCGAGGGGAGACTACAATACCTTGAAATCACCTGAAGGGTCAGTACTACTTATCTGCGTACTTTGGATATTCGCGTTTGTTTATTGAGTGAGTAGTTGCACCCACGCTCCATAGGTTGGATTAGTGAATTGAATGGGTTTTCTATGGGCTGAGCAGATAGTGTTGTGCATAGTTTGTAACTAGCCTTTGAAGGTCTGGAGTATAATACACAGTATTATGTGACTTTTTCTTCAAGCTGACCCGATGGTTTTTCACAAGCGTATCGTTGTGTTTTGGTTGATGTACAGATTGATTGCGGCGGCTCTTACGGATTTAGTGGGCGAGGATAAAGTCAATTCAATATTGAATGACTCCAGGGACATTCATAAGTCTCGTGAACAACTAGACATTGTGGATGTGAGTCGCTTCGGCGATTCCCCCGAAATTATTGCACGTCTGGCAGAAATAATGCAGCTGAAAGATTCTTATGGCCGCACGTTAGTTCATGCAGCAGCTTTGGGGGCTAACATGGACTGTGTGAAGTTGGTTCTATTATCTGGCGGGGATCCGTTTGCGATCGATCAATACGGTCGTACCCCATTGCACTACGCGGTGGCTTCATGTGCTTTTGCGGTTCGCCCTCCCATGTCCGGATCCCCATTATCACCCGGAGTCACTAGTCTATCTCCGGGGTCTTCTTTATCTCCGATTGCATCACCACTCAATAGCGCTCCGTGGTACTATCGCGCCAACGCGATCGCCGATGCTGTTTCAGCATCGTTGGTGTTCCTCAAAGTAAGTTGGCGTTATTTTTCTGACTTCCGTACGATGCTTCACACGACAGGTACATACTTAAGTTTCGCTTCAAAATACGTGATGAAACATTCCTATTCTGTTTGTCTCCGTTGTTGAAAAGACCCTTTTTGATTGGTATGAGTTTTTCTGGTGATCGCTTTTTATAGAGTCCCCATAAATGTATGACGACGATTGTTTTCGATATGAACTTGGCTGCTAACTGATTTAAAATAACTATTTTGTGTGAGGATCCTAGGTAGTCTGTCATATGTAAACCAGAAATACGGAAAATCAAGTCATGTCTGGACTTGTCTAGTTCTGTGCTCCATTATCATATTTTAGCTATGCCTTGTGGTTGCCATGGCTTACTTGACAGCGCAATCACAGGAATGCTAAGTGCAGTTGACAGCAAACTGAACTTTAAGTTTCAAACTCCAATCGATTCGACTGTTCTGTTTGTTGAAATACATTTTGACAGTGACGTAGGTATGGTTTTTATTACATCTCTCTCGGTGAATTGGGGTTTCATTGTTCTGTTGACACAGTACTGCTCACAAGGCTGATGAAATGTCTTCTAGGTCAACCAACCACTAAAGGATATCTAGTTCCGGAGAACTTTTCCTTCCATGAACTACCTTGCTTTAGCAAACTAATCATACATTGCTTTATGTATCTGTATCTTTTTAAATATATACACCAAGCTTGACAATATCTAACAGTATATATGTTCACAATCCTATAGTTGTGCTTCCTGAGACGCACAAATTTGAGGACATCGAGAAAGCTAGTTTTGAAGAAGAGTCATCAGCAGAACCTCCCTGTTGTCTTGGCACAGCTTAGGCAAACGACGATAGTTACGTCAACCCAAAAGTCAATCAACAGTTGCCGTATATTCTGTCTATTTTAGATGAACAACTTGACCCATTATCTAACTAACCAGTTAGGCCAACTTTGCACGTGAAGCACCACCAATCAGTCGTACGGTAGTACTAGTATTTTATAGAAGCGGCTTGTTTCCTGCTTGGTTGCATCTGAATTTTGTTGCTACGGCGAAGTTACATCGCGATGAAATCTGGTTCGCAAAATTGTTCGTCTAGGAATGTTTCCAAGCCGGGGTGTTTTTTGTAAGAAGGGGATGGTGTATTCCTGGTGCAAAATATCGAGCTTTACTAAGTACGTTTTCCCTTCAAATTGTTTTATTCGACCGTTTCCTATGAGAGCTGCGTATCGCACAACTTCAACGTGTCATGAAAAAATGGGTAAGCTTGGGTATTACACAGTCTTTGTGGGCCAAAGGAGCTCAAGCAAAATCCCAAGGATATGCGGCATGTTCCAATTCCATCTTGTATCTAGAGAAAATGATTGATTAAATCCCCACTTTTTGAGACAAATCTTGATCACTCATCGCTCAGTTCCATTCGAGCATATTTGATTGTCTTAGAGTTTATTTGTGTATGTGCAATTCATGGTTGTACGTCTCTTCCGCCTGAGGTAGCTCAGTAATTCAGACTTCCATAAAGACCTCAAACTGGATAGGAACCACCTTATTCTTGTGGCTAAGGGCAGAACATGCGTCACAAAATGTAAACTTTTCTATTTAACTCCACCTAACTGCTGTTGTCTTGTGACAAGTCATTCGGATCACGCTCGTCGAATGACGTCCCTAATTATCTTTCTATCATTGCCATGGCAGTATTTTGGCTATCCTACAAACATGAGTTGTAACAAGGTCATGATTGTACGAGGGCTGGGATACTGCCAGGGCGCCTACACCTAGACAGGAGGACGATTAGGGTCCTCAACCAAAGCCTTTGGCTCAAAAGCCTAACCGCAAGGTAGCGGTGTTTGGCGGGAAATGCAAATGCATCATCATTTCTACGGAACAAGTCGCCACATTTTCCAACCCCCAACCTGGAGGGCCAGGAGACTGTGTTCGTCAGACCTCTAACCATTGACCAACCTGGTATGAGAGACTCTGTGAGTGTCGCGGGACACTCTCCAGTATAGCTCAATGGATCGCTGAGGTGCGCAAACCGTCACACCACGGTAAGGTCCAGTCTCTTCGTGACGGCAGTGAAGCATCGGTGTTGAACACTGATGTCATGCTGTCGATGATGATGATGATTGTCCTAGAAACATGATAATTTTTTCGGCCAATCCACGGACAGTCAGACGTATAAGTTTGTTGTGATCAGGTCTCGGATTTTCTCGAATTGTAAAAGTTCCCGAGGCGTAGGTTTCTCATGCAGAAGTATCTTCGACCCATTTGGAGGGTTTTAGTGTTCTGGGATGAAAATAACCGAAATTTTTCGAAGCATTACATGCTTCCATTATTTCATTGTTGTATTCCTTCTATCTCCCGAAATTGAGTTGTTTGTCTGACACTATTTTTCCCAACGAAACTTGACCTTTTGATGCGATCAGGCCACTTGTTTGACGGCACAGTTCCGTATCAGGCAAAAGGAGTAGGGGAAAATAAATTTCCCGTCCTGAATGAATTTTGGAGTCAGACGTTAACAAGGCTACATTCAGCGGTTATCGTTTAGTCAGGAGATGCAATCCTGGGTGATAATCATAACGACCCATCTTCAGAGCTGAATTCTAAGGACGTACTTGGTAAACTACGGGTTTTCAAATTGTGTATGATCTCGTTTCAGAGGGGTTTGGTAAACAATGGGTGGATTTATTGCCGGGCAACGTTTCGCTTTTGACACAAAAGCTTCGTCAGGTCAGGGAACCGTGAGATTCCTTGTGACTAGTGACTTGGTCAGTGCTAGGTGTTCAGTCTGATGTTCCTGTTTGTTGATTATTGGGGATGACTAAGATTTACGATAGATTGGTTAGGGGGTTCGTCTTTATGATGAACCCGGATTTTTCGTCCTTGCTTTTTCGGTCTAGGACACCTTAATGGAAAATTTTTCTTGGGGCCGTTCACAGATTTCGTTCACCTGTGTTCGTCCAAGGGTGCTGGGACATCGGTTTGGGGATGGGGGTGGGGTGGCTAATTGGATCTAACTCTACATGGATTTTGTACTTTTAGAGCCAGACCATTTCGCTGATAACTGCACACCGCCTCGTATCATCTTGGCTGATCTAAGACCGCTCTCCACACGTTTGCAAGTTCTACCCCCTCTATTCTATTCACACTCGGATACTTGGCGATTTCCA